CATCCATCCATCCATCCATCCATCCATCCATCCATCCATCCATCCATCCATCCATCCATCCATCCATCCATCCATCCATCCATCCATCCATCCATCCATTCATCCATCCATCCATCCATCCATCCATCCAGTCATCCATCCATCCACACATCCATCCATCCATCCATCGATCCATCCATCGTGGATGGATGGATGGATGGATGGATGGATGGATGGATGGATGGATGGATGGATGGATGGATGGATGTTCATATATCCGTCCGTATAGTAATCTATTGATTGACCTATCTATATATTTGCTCTTGAAACGAGAAGGCACTGAGCATAGGCAATGTATAGGCAATTTAAACAACTAACCATTTTAATATTGAAGAATAAAATCTATTTTGCTCATATTGTTAACAAACTTTTTTCAGTATTGTTTTCAGACAGTTTAGCGATAATTAAACTGCTTTTACACTTAGCTGTTAATTTTTTTTGCTGGTAGATAAAGCGGATGTTATCGAAACAACGCGTTATGAATGAAACGGCGAAGGAAATACTGTATAGGGGAACATAGGGCAAAACGGGGTCATGGGGCAAAACTAGGTTTTGCTATATTTTTAATTCTACAGTACTGCGATCTTTTATACATATACTCTGAACTATTCATTACGTCAGAGAGAACTCGTGTAGCATGTGTTGTGAAGAAGAAGACATTTCAGGTAAATATGGTTCGAAATTATCGATTTTTTAACATTTTCTTAAAATATAAGGGTTGTCTATGATGTGCTGCTATTTGTCCAAGAACAATAGCATCCAAATAAATAGTTTCTGGTTTTGAACTAGGTAGACTTGGTATGATTAAGGATAATTAGCTTTTGACATTGAATAAGCCTTGCGAAATTTGTCGGCCATTTTTCTGACTGGAATGCTTGGGGCAAAATGGGGTGGGTGTCCCCATTTTGCCCCATTATCATTCTGTTGGAAAGTAAATAAGATGTATGTTGGCATTCCCTAATTTTGACTTTCCTTTCTTTTAAATAGCATGGTTCTAAAGTACAAACGTAAGACTGACCGACAAAGTTGGTCGGAAGAATCGATGGGACAGGCAATTGAAGATGTGGTATATGGTGTAATGGGATAGAGGAAAGCCTCAGCCCAGTACAATGTGCCACAGACTACACTTGAAAGACGGGTTATGAAATACCGTGAAAACCCAGATGTAGCCACAGCTACCCAAAAATGTCTGGGTAAATACAAACCAATCTTCACAACAGAACAAGAGGATGACGCTGGTTCAGTACCTCAAGCTGATGGAGGCAAAACTATTTGGATTTAGCACCAAAGAATTACAAATGCTGACATTTCAACTAGCTGAACGAAACAAGATACCACATCCATTTAACAGAATAGATGAAATGGCTGTGGTAGATTGGCTAGAAGGCTTCATGAAGAGACATGCAGACTTATCACTGCGTAAACCAGAACCGACTTCAGCTGCCCGAGCGCTGGGCTTCAACAAAGTTGCAGCCTCTAAGTTTTTTGACTTGCTAGAGCGACTTGTTGATAAACACAAACTGACACCAAATCAGATTTTTAACTGTGACGAAACAGGGGTAACAACTATGTCGAAAAGTTACCAGAAACTCATTGCATTGAAGGGACGCCGCCAAGTAGGAACGCTTACGTCTGCAGAGAAGGGCAACTGGTTACAATAGAGATTTGTTTTTGTGCAGATGGTTCATATTATGCCACCGATGCTAATCTTCCCTCGGAAGCGTATCAAGCCAGAGCTGTTGGATGGGGCTCCACCAGGTGCATGGGCCGAATGTCATCCGAGTGGGTGGATGCAGTCAGATATCTTCATGGCATGGTTCAAGCGATTCATTACATTTTCCCGTGCAAGCAAAGAGTCACCAGTGTTGTTACTTCTGGATGGACATGCCACACACACCAAAAACATGGACCAAATTGACCTTGCTCGTGAAAATGATGTAATTTTACTGTGCTTTCCACCACACTGCACACATCGTATGCAGCAACTAGACGTAAGTTTCATGAAACCTATCAGTACATACTACAGTGATGAGATAAAAACCTTGGCTTCGCACACATACAGGGCGTGTTGTTACACAATACCAGATTGCAAGCTTGTTTGGTAAAGCGTTTATACAAGCAGCATCTATGGACACTGCCATCAATGGGTTTCGCAAAACTGGAATATGGCCAGTTCAACGTAATGTCTTCAAAGAGGTGGATTTTTTGGCAGCTAAAACAACAGATATCGAGATTCCTGGCATACAACCAGAGCACCAGGAATGCCCCTCAATTTTAAGCAGGGGCAGATGATGTTCCTGAAATGCAACCAGATGACCTTCTTGAAGTGCAGCCACAGCCATTGTTTTCGACTCCAGATAAAATACCTGTTTAACATCATTGACTGAAAAAATAAGGCATGCGTGTGATATAGAATACCAATAACGCGTTGTTAATAACTAAAACGTTAACTAATAACGCGCTGTAGCCGCATGGAGGTGCACGACAAGAACCACGATCCGGACCTTCCTGGATTTTTTACGTGATAATACAGCACATTGAATTTATTAAAGTTCAACACCAAGTTCTTACTGAACGCAACACTGGATCAATTGAGCGAGCACAAACCTATCGAACCCATCAATATTACACTATAATAATTCCTACCGCATTCTCAAGGTTCATATATTGTGCTATCGATTAAATGTATATAATTGTTATATTAATCAATAATTGGTAATGAAATATTGGCCGGCAATTTACGAGGAATTCTTTTCTAAGAGGGTTGCTATCCTCATAAAAATTCCATATTCTTCATTGATTCCACACAAGCAACAAAACTAAGAAATTATCAAATTAGAATTATGTAAAAGTGACAGTTATTCCGGTAATTATGTCATTTGACGCACAATGAACAACATGACTTCACCAACAAAGTAGACTGTTCAAGGGAGCAAAGCAAGGTAGCTACGCTAAAGGCTGCGAGCGCATGTGTGACTTTTCATATTCTTGTTAGACGCGTCAATGATATTCTACAAGCAAGCTCAAGTTTTTTTTGCAGGTAGAGAGCGCAGCGCGTTGATAGTTTTCATAGGCATTCATTACAACGCGTGCTACAGGTTTCGTAGGAAAACATCATCAAAGTTTCATCGGATCATTTTGTTGTCAGTATTTACAAACGCTGATGTGCCGGGGCAGCCCGACTGCGACGCTTTATATGGCCTTGCATCGTCGAGGTCTGCACTGTTCCGCTGACTCATACAAAGTTTAGTCGCAAAGTTATTCTGCGAAATAATTTATTACTCATTTTAATGCTACTATGGAATGTTATCACCTGCTAAATTATTCAACACTCGTTTCACGTGCGGCAATTAAAATTCGTTCGATACTCGTTTTCATCTATAGAGTACTTGTGTTTTCTGACACATGCAAAATTGTTGTAGTTAGATTAGATTGGTCGCAAGTGGACGAATGTGCAAACAAGCGTGAGAAAGCCACGGACTAAAGTGAAGGGGTTTTGTTCTAGGAAAACAAGATTGAGAAAGAATTACCTAGCATTTTTTTGAAAAAGAGTGCCAATGTATTAGGCAGACGAATATCAGATAAATTATGGCAGATTTACGTATTATTCGAAAAAATTGTTTACTTTGACAAATGAACATCAGTGATGAATTTGAATTTAAATTTATGTGCCCAACTTTCCGATTTCGCGTAAAGTAGCGGGTAATGTAATATTTAGATGATGACAGTTAGCGATTGAAATTGTAATATGAGTCAGTGTTTCACACATTTGGTCAGTTTCACGATGATGAAAATTAATTAATATATAGCATATAATAACAAACGGTTAACTCAACCCTCGCTATCTAGGTGCGCGGAGATGGATTACGGTAATCAGAAAAGGTTGATATAACGGTGCGTTCGTTCGCGAACATCACTACGAATGCAGACATAACGTCGCGTTGCTTACGTCTGAGTAAGTTACAGTACGTTGCACGCACACACACACACACACACACACACACACACACACACACACACACACACACACACACACACACACACACACACACACACACACACACACACAC